CATGGCTAAGAGAAGTGTCTTTCAGGAATAACAAATAAATTCAAAAAAGAGTAAATACTTTAGAAACCCTAAACCCTAAACCCTAAACCCTAAACCCTAAACCCTAGCGCCCCGCGCAGTAGAGTGGTCCGACCGCAGCCGACTGGAGCCGTAAACCGTAAACCCTAAACCCTAAACCCTAAACCCTAAAACATGAAGATAGGGCTTCAACTATAAGTAGCTGCCTTTCGTGCTTCTTTTTAACTCAAAAGAATATTAAAAACTTGTGGGGTTTGATGTTCATTGGATCCCTTCTAGGGTTTAGGGTTTAGGGTTTAGGGTTTAGGGTTTAGGGTTTAGGGTTTGGGGGTTATGGGCCTGCTGCATGCGACAACGGAATTCAAGACTGCAGAGGAGGGTTTGGGTTTTATAATTTTTATAATTTTTGTTTTTTATTTTAATTTATATAAATATTTTATGTTTTACACATCGCAGGGGTTTGCGTCTCTGCTGCTGCAGCAACAACGGCAGCAGCAGCAGCAGCAGCATCAGCAGCAGCAGCAGCAGCAGCAACAGCAGCAACTTGCAGCAGCAGCAGCTTCAAACCCCCCACTAATCTCCCAAACCCTTCCTTACCTAGTAACGCATGAGACGCTTATGTGTTAGGGTTTAGGGTTTAGGGTTTAGGGTTTAACGGCCGCACACCACTGGAGTCGGCAGCGGTCGTTTCTAAGCGTTGAGGGTTTAGTTAGGGTTTAGGGTTTGGGGTTTAGGGTTTAGCGCATGGAGCCGAGGAAGACCGCAGCTGCCTCTGCTCCTAGTTGTCGCAGCCGAGGCTGAGCAGCAGCAGCAGAAGCAGCAGCAGCAGCAGAAGCAGCAGCAGCAGCAAGAGCAACAAAAACCTGAGTAGCAGCAAGAGCTGCAGCAGCAGCAGCGTCTTCTGCAGCGGGTAACAGCAGCAGGAAATTGGGGCTGCAGCGTTTAAGTGCTGCGCCCCCTGTAGCAGCAGCAGCAGCAGCAGGAAGCAGATTTGCGCAGCACCAACAATCCAAGCAGCAACAGCAGCAGCAGCAGCAGCAGGACGTGGATCAGCAGCAAACCAACAACAGCAGCAACCCAAGCACCACTAGCAGCAACAGCAGCAACAGCAGCAACAGCATCAGCAGCATTAACAGCAGTAGCAGCTGCAACAGCAGCAGCAGCAGCAGCAGCAGCAGCAGCAGCAACAGCATTAGCAGCAGCAGCAGCAGCAGCAGCAGCAAATGGAGCCTCTTAAGGGGCCTCCGGGGGAGGAAGCAAATCCGACCTCCTTTTTGGAGTCGCCGTTGCTGCGAATGTCGCAGCTGCCTGGCATTGGCCTTGAGGTAATCAGGGTTTAGGGTTTAGGGTTTAGGGTTTAGGGTTTAGGGTTTAGGGTGTGTGCCTGTTTAGGGTTTAGGGTTTATTAGGCTTAGTACCGGCTTATTAGGATTAATAAGGGTTTAGAAGGGTTTCTAATTATTGATTAGGGTTGATTATGGTTTATTAGGGTTTATTAAAGCTTACTAGGGTTTACTAGGGTTTATTAGGGTCTATTAGGGTCTATTAGGGTTTATTAGGGTTTATTAGGGTTTATACGGGTGAATAAGGGTTTATTAGGGTTGATTAGGGTTTATTAGGGTTTATTAGGGTTTAGGGTTTATGAGGGTTTGCGTGCAGGCGTTAGTTGTCGCTGCGGCGCGGCGTAAAGACAGCGCAGGTTTTATGTCTATCTGTAATTCTTTAAGAAGCAGCAGAGCAGCAGCAGCAGGAGGAGCAGCAGCAGCAGCAGCAGCTCTTGAAGAAGCACATGCTCTTCATTGGGCTGCTTTCTTAGGCTCTGAAACTATAATTAATTATCTCCTGCTGCAAGTTGGATGCTCACCTTCCCACCAAGTAAGGGTTTAGGGTTTAGGGTTTAGGGTTTAGGGTTTACGGGGGAGGCGGGAAGGGGGAGAGTCAGGGTCTCTACTCAGCCATTAGGGTTTAGGGTTTAGGGTTTAGGGTTTGAATTCAGGAGGAGGCATCTTTAGAGACTCTGATTTTTTTTAGGGTTTAGGGTTTAGGGTTTAGGCCTTGGATTAAGGGGAAGGCATTACTACAGAGGCTCTAGGGTTTAGGGTTTAGGGTTTAGGGTTTAGGGTTTGAATTCAGGAGGAGGCATCTTTAGAGACTC